GTCCCGTGCCGCTGCTGAAGGGAAACTTCATGAACTTGGTCTCAAGGCATGTAGTGCAGCTCCCAATCTCCTTTGCTGCCCCCTTCACCTCCAACCCCTTCAAGCTCCCATCCTTCACTAACTTCTGCAGCATAGGAAAATTCACATGACACAGCCTCTCCTGCCATGTCTCCCAATCAGCCTCACCACTCCCAGATGAAGCCTTTGCCCATGCAGCTGTTGCATCCATGCCAGCAAGCACCTCACCATGTGGCTGCTGTGGCTGCTGCACCTTCTTGACTGCATCCAGGGCCCCATCAGTTGGCGCAGTCTTCTCTCCTTCGGCAGTTGCTTTAGCCGTCGCTGCTGCCGCTCCCATTGCTGGTAGTTTCCCGTTCCAAGGGATAATGGGCAGCTGCCATAGGTCCTTGAAGCAGCTGCTCTTCTCCTCCAAATCCCACAGCAGCAATTTCCCAAGCTTCGCATGGCAGCTGGTTAGGCCAAAGTTCACTTTGGCCTTGCTCTTCTGCAGCCGGCGCACAGAAAAAAAGGTTAGCGGACAAACCTTCAACCAACAGCACATTCCCCAGCCCCAAAAGCTCACCATTGGCTCCCATTACCTTGGCATTCCCAACACCAATCACAAGGAGCAAAGCACCTGAAGCGGCAGCCACAAACTTTATCTTCCCAGGGGGTTTTACCTTGTCAAGCAAATCTGCCCGTGGGGTTATGTGACTTGTGCAACTTTAATCGATCACCTAGTGAGTGAGGGGGTGCATCACAACCTTCTCAACTGAACTCACATCACCCTCGCTCCTTTTCACATCCTCAACCATGAGGAACATCCCAGGGTCGGCTTTATCTTGTGCACCATGACCTTGTGCACCTGAACCTTGCACAGCGCCACCTCGTGCACGTTCACCACTTGGCGGCTTCATGCCTGGGGGCGCCCATCCCTCAGGCCAGCTGAAACACTTGAACCACGGGTGTCCAGCCTTCTTGCAGTACCAGCACGCACCCTCCATTCGGGTGCTCCCCCTACCACCAGAGCTCCCATGCCCCTCAGTATAGTCACCTCGGCCTCTCCCTCTACCAAAGCCTCTCCCATGGCCTTGGCCTCTCCCACCCCCTCGTCCTCTGCTGCCTCCTGCAGCTCCATACCCCTCTGCAGTCTTGTTGGCAGCCCCGCCTGCCGTGTGGCGCCTGCGGAAGTCTTCCTGCAGAATCTGCTGCCGTAGCTACTCAGGTGTCCACTTGTCCTGCTGAGCGTTGAAGGTGGGGATGAGGTTGTCCCACGATTTGTCGAGCACCGAGATGATCTTGGTGCACTGCTGCATCTCCGACACCTTGCTGCCCACCACTGCCATCCTCACATAGGTGTCCTTGATCTTGTCTGGCTTCACATCGTCTCCCGGTCGCATGGAGAGGCCCGCCATCTCCTTCTCCGATAAAATCACCATCGGCATCGTCTTGGGCTGAACCACATCGCGCAGTAGCTTCCACGCCTTCGGTCCGGAATCATCCAGCTCCACCAAATCCTTGATGTGCTGGAACATGTCATTGTTGACCGATTGTAGGATGAGGTCGTACAGCACCGCGCTCTTCTCAATACACCGATCGCGGGCATCGCCTTCCTCCGGCATCTTCTCTTCTCCCATCGCAAGCTTCAGCAGCTTGTAGCGCTTAAACGCACTCAGCATCCGCCCACTCCATTCCTCATAGTTGGAGCCATCCAACGCCTCGATCTTGGATAGTGGCGGCTCATTCCTCTTCTCTGCTGCATCTCCACTCCCTTGACTCATTTCCTCTGCTCCCAATCACAGGTTCCAGCTCCCCCTTTGTTGTCCACACCGAAGTCCCACAATATTTTCTAAGTGTAAGCGCCAACAAAATTTTGGCAGAGTTTCCCCTTAGCGGAAGTCACATGCAACCTCCAGAACTCCACTTAGGCACTCCCATAGGCCATGGTGGGTCTAGGAGGGTCTTCACAATTCAGTAGACTCTCCACAAATTCCTTAATCTGCTATGATACCACTTGTTAGAGACTAAGGACGGAGTCTATGAAGATTAAGGGCCGAAATATCTCAAAATCGTTGGGCTAGAATTTTGGACAGAAAAGTCGTCGTCACACGACCATCCTCAGTCACCCCAGAGATCTCCTCCTCAGAGATAGTAACCTCCACTTGCCTCGAAGGTTGCTGCACCTCATCGGCCTCAATGATCAGTGATGTAGTAGGAAGCTTCTGCTGCTGCTGCTTCCACTCCTTGTAGTACAGTGACTCAAGGAACTTCACATCCCTCAAAACAGTCAGCTTCTAGCTGGTCAAGTCCCACACCAACCAGCCCTTGTGATCCTTGGCAATCCCCAAGTGTACTCCCCATCTCCCAGAAGCTTCCAACCTTCCTCTCTTCTCCTTAGGCACATGAAACACCACCATACACCCAAAGGCTCTCAGCATGTTCACAACTGGAACACTCCCATACCACTTGGTGTAGGGGACCCACTGCTTGTCCCCCACAGTCGCCAGCACCCTGTTCTTCACAAGAGCGACCTGCCGCAGTGCAGTAACCCAAAACAGATCCGGCAGCCCTGCACGTCCAAGGAGAGTGCGAGCACCTTCCTGCAGGGTCCGGTTGAACCGCTCAGCCACGCCGTTTTGCTAAGGGTTGTAGGGCACCGTGAGCTGATGCTGGATCCCCTTCTTCTTCAGCACCGCCTCAAAATCAGCGCCAATGAATTCTCCCCCGTTGTCAGTGCGGATCACCTTCACCTTGTGACCGCTCTCCCTTTGAGCTCTCGGCATCCACTCCTTAAGAACAGCCGCTGCCACCTCCCCCTTGGTTTTGAGAGGGAACACCCACACCGCATGCATGTGGTCATCCACAGTGGTCAAGAAGTAGCGGCTGCCTGAAAGAGAAGGGGCCCTCGTAGGGCCCACCACATCCATGTGCACAAGCGCGAGTGGTGCCTTGGCTGGTCCCGTGCCGCTGCTGAAGGGAAACTTCATGAACTTGGTCTCAAGGCATGTAGGGCAGCTCCCAATCTCCTTTGCTGCCCCCTTCACCTCCAACCCCTTCAAGCTCCCATCATTCACTAACGTCTGCAGCATAGGAAAATTCACATGACACAGCCAATCGTGCCACGTCTCCCAATCAGCCTCACCACTCCCAGATGAAGCCTTTGCCCATGCAGCTGTTGCATCCACGCCAGCAAGCACCTAACCATGTGGCTGCTGTGGCTGCCGCACCTTCTTGACTGCATCCAAGGCCCCATCAGTTGGCGCAGTCTTCTCTCCTTCGGCAGTTGCTTTAGCCATCTCTGCTGCCGCTGCCGTTGCTGGTGGTTTCTGTTAGAGACTAAGGACGGCGTCTATGAAGATTGGAGGCCGAGATATCTCAAAATCGTTGGACTAGAATTATGGACAGAATTCTCGACTTCATAAGAAACGTCGTCGTCAAACAACGCACAGTTAGAACTCTTTCAAACTCGGGTATGTTGTAGCCCTTGACCGTGGCTATCTTTCCCAGTTTGAATTGTATCACACTATTGAGTATAACTCGAGTTATGAATTTCGGCGCACTAGGGAGTATGCTGCCATAGAAACTTAACTCAATCACAATTATCTCACAAGTTCACACAAGAAAGTTAGAGTAGCAAGAACCAGGTAGAAGGGGATGAGGAGGACGAGAGGGAAGGTCCCTAGGGAGTCCCCAACCAAGGAAACCCCATACCACACAATTCCCCTCTCTATAGGCCACCCAACTTTGACATTTGTCACTTTCACAACTCATGCCATCCACCTCATCCAACTTGGCCACACTTGCCAACCTGGTTTGGCTTCTCCCAACCACTTGGCATTAACTACAGTGATGGGGACGAATTTCCCAACCCCCAAAAGTCTGTACCCCATATTGAGTCAATCCGCAAATTCCCGTAGTTGCCGCATCTCAATCAAAACTTCGAACGATCACTTTCTCGTTCTTGCTCCGATCCCGACGATTCTTGGTTTGTCGGAAAGCTCTCGAGCAGAGGAGTTTCTTGAGATATCTACTCAAAACAAATAACATTCACACTCACTCAGAAAATCCAAACCACACCAAACCATGGCATATATGATGGATCCGACAAACGAGGTGTAAGGAAAGGAGGAGGAGTGTGGGGAGGAAGTCACGGACAGCTAAGACTTGGTGTCCATGGGGTGGCAGCAGGGTTAAGTGGAGTGAATGAGTAGGTGTCTAAGATGGAGGTGATGAATTTGATGAAGGTGGAGAGTGCGGGAGGTCCGATCACGAGTGATAAGAAAGCCAACGTAGTAGGAAAGAGGACCGAGGTCACAAAGCTTGAAGCGAGATGAATTGGCACGCTTGAAGGAGGAAAGAAGAGAAGAGGAGGAGGAAAGAATGATGAGGTCGTCAACAAAGATGAGAAGCATGAAGAAGGATGCAGCTGTAGACTGATAAGGAGATTGAGGAGGAGCAATGAAGAGGCCGGGGTCCGCACAGGCAGCAAAAGGGCGAAAGGCAGCAAGCTCTTCACGAAGTTTGCGGTACCAGCATCGCGGTGCTTGCTTCAATCCGTACAACGGTTTGTGCAAGAGACAAACTTGCTCAATACCATGGACCACCGGAAGTTCATAACCGGGAGGCTGCATCATGTAGAGAATTTCATCAAGAGTGCCGTTGAGGAAGGCGTTGGAAATTTCCAGCTGATATACTTCCAGGTCGAAAGCAGCAGCAATGGTGAGGAAGAGGCAGAGGGTGGCGAAGCGGATGGTAGGAGCAAAGGTGTCATGGAAATCAACACCGTCGCGTTTTTTGAAACCTTTGACAACAAGGCGGGCCTTGCGGCGTTCAATAGAACCATCAGCATGCTCCTTGACCTTGAAAATCCATTGGCATGGAATCGGCTTGCACTTGGGTGGTCGAGGAACAACGCTGTAAGTGTCATTAGCGTGCAGGGCAGCGAGTTCCGCATCAGCAGCCTTGATCCATTCAGCAGCATCAGGGCCGGTGCGGGCCTCATGAATGGTTTGAGGCTCGTAATGATGATGAGGGGCGGCATTAGCGGAGGTCTTGGAAAGAGGAGGAAGGGTGAAGTCAATGGGTTCAGAAGGAGAGGGTAAGACCTTGAGCAATGAGAAAAGTGAAGGATTGGAAGGAGCTGAAGGGGATGGTGATGAGGAACTAGAGGTGCAAGGGGGAGGATGAGCTGAAGAAGGAGAGGAGAGGGATGGAAGGCGGAAGTCTTGAGGCGTTGAGGGCAGAGGAAGGGTGTGAGAACACGAAATTGTGAAATCGCGATATGGTGTACGTGGGACGGATATCAAAGTTTCAGGCTGACCAAATCTTTCCTGAGTGAGCGAGCGTGTGCAGACGCTGGACGGTAGGGGCTCTGGGCATCCACAGTAACATAGACCTGGTCGAGGTGATAGGTGCTAACTGCATCACTTAAAGCCTCAGTTCTTTTGTCCCCATTCTGCTCCATCTCCATCCTCTCTTGAGACGTCTCTAAAGTAATCACCTAAGCGCTCTGGCTTCAGGTATTAGGTCCTTCGATCCCCACCATCTCTTGCCTTTCTCCCTCTTTCTCTAACCCTCCAACCCCCTTCCCCTTTTTGCTCTCCACCCAGATTCCCCAACCTCCTTCCCCTTCTGCTCTCCACCCAAATTCCCCAACCCCCTTCCCCTTCTGCTCATCCCCCAAATCCCCCAACCCCCTTTCCTTACCGTTGTCCCCCCAAACCCTCCATCCCCCTTCTCCGTCTGCTCTTCCCCCTCAAGCCCCTCCCACTTCTACTCTCCTCCCAGATACCCCAACCCCCTTTGCTCTCCACCCAACCCCCTCAATCCCAACCTTCCTCACCCCCCCTTCTCCAGCTGCGACCGGGTGTTAGTGCTGGACGGGGGAAGGCCAGGGGCCTTGGGTCCCTAAGTCGGGCTGGCAAGAGAGGTGGACTTCCATAGGCTTTTGGGCGGGGATGAGGTCGAGGGGGATGAGGAGGAAGGGGAGGTAGTGAGAGCAGGAGAGAAGGCTGTTGGTGGTGCGGAATGGGGAGAGGGCATGGAACGGGGGGGGGGAGGAGGAGGAGGAGGAGGAGGAGGAGGAGGAGGAGGAGGAGGAGGAGGAAGAGGAGGAGGAGGAGGAGGAGGAGGAGGAGGAGGAGGAGGAGGAGGAGGAGGAGGAGGAGGAGGAGGGGGAAGGAACGAGTGGGGGAAACTGGGGCGAAGTTGCAGCATCGATGCTAGTTTACAGCGGGAGAGGATAGTGATGATGGCAGCTCTGATGATGATGATGATCATGATGATGATCATGATGTTGCTGATGATGATGATGATGATGATGATGATGATGATGATGATGATGATGATGATGATGATGATGATGATGATGGTGATGATAATGATGATGATGATGATGATGATGATGATGATGATGATGATGATGATGATGATGATGATGATGATGATGATGATGATTATGATGATGATGATGATGATGATGATGATGATGATGATGATGATGATGATGATGATGATGCTGATGATGATGATGATGATGATGATGATGATGATGATGATGATGATGATGATGATGATGATGATGAATGGGGAGATGAATGGGGAGATGAATGGGGAGATGAATGGGGAGATGAATGGGGAGATGAATGGGGAGATGAATGGGCAGATGAATGGGCAGATGAATGGGCAGATGAATGGGCAGATGAATGGGCAGATAAATGGGCAGAAGAATAGGGAGATGAATGGGGAGATGAATGGGGAGATGAATGGGGAGATGAATGGGGAGATGAATGGGGAGATGAATGGGGAGATGAATGGGAAGATGAATGGGGAGATGATTGGGGAGATGATTGGGGAGATGAATGGGGAGATGAATGGGGAGATGAATGGGGAGATGAATGGGAAGATGAATTGGAAGATGAACAGGGAGATGAACGGGGAGATGAATGGGAAGATGAACGGGCGTTGTACTGGTGGTGCTGGTGGTGGCATCTACACGGATGGGGTAAGGACGGGAAGGAGGAGGATGAGGATATGGGAGAGAGAGCAGGGGAAGGAGCAGGAGTGGGAGGAGGAGCAGGAGTGGGAAGAGGAGGAGGAGGATGAGGTGGTGGTATTGGTGGAGGGTGTGAGCTTCAGTTTGGGAGAGGACGAGGTGCTGGGTGTCACAGGGAAGGTGAGCACTGGGCGCTAAAAGCAAGGCCTTGTGAGGGGGGGTAAGAGTGAGAAGGGGAGGTGAAGAGAGGAGGAGGAGCGGGTGACTGGGCCAGAAAAGAGAAGAAAAGTCTTATGCGTTTTGAGTTGTATGCATTTTGTGCGTTCCGATTATCCTGTATTTCCTCAGTAACTCCTTCGTTTGAGTTGTATTTTTCCCTTCCTGCTCCTTGATTCTTTCCCTCCCTGCCCCGTGTTTCTTTACCTCTTTGTCTTAGCAGGTGGGAGCGGGCAAGTCGACACTTTGGCAGGTATAATAGGCAATGCAGAGCTGCTGAAGGGAGAGCTGGTGTGTCGAGCACACAAGATCGCATATGCGGCACAGAAGGTGGGACCGTGGGTATGGGCATGCTTATGAAAGTGTCACGATCTGTTGGCCGTGCTCTCTGCACATCATGCCCGTGTGTGGAGATGTGCTGAAATGGTTCGGTTTTGAGAAGTCTCACTAGCGTATGGTGCACAGGTGGGGCCACTGCCAACATGTGGGGGGACTTGTGCTGCACATAAAGTTGTGATCAGAGCACAGAGCAGCGAACTTTTGATTGGGACCAGGAGAGTCTACGCAGGGTTTGTGCTGGCTGGCATATTATTAATGCAGCGTGTGCATACACACACACATACACACACACACACACACACACACACACACACACACAGCTGCATGCGTAACCATTGCAAGCACGTAGCCGTGCGTGTGAATGTGCATGTGTATGAACCTTTGCGCCCCAGCGCTCAGCTGCAATCTATGTAGCTGTTAGCACCACTTTTGTGGAGTTTTGGGATGCCTCCAGACATGCTTTGCTGACGTCTGTGTGTCTACAGACAAGCTTTGCTGACGTCTGTTTGTCTACAGACATGCTTTGCTGACGTCTGTGTGTCAACGTGACAACACATGTATTATCTTTTGTGTGCTTCCTGTTTGTGTGGTTTGGGCGTGGTATGGTGTGGTGTGGTGTGGTGTGGCGCACAGCCGTTCATCATGGCCGGATCACTGAAGGACAACATCATCTTCGGCCGTCCATTCCAAGCAGAGCTCTACAATCAGGTGACCAACACCGCTTGCTCCTTTTCCTCACAATTTCCCAATTTTCCCTTCCAACCATACCCTCTACTCCAATATATTCCGTTTCACGTCATACACTCCTCTCTTCCCTACCATACTTATTTCCCTCCTTCTCGTTCTCCACCCCTTCTGCACTCCTATTTTCTAGCTTTGACAACCATGAGTCAACCATACCATTCATGAGTCAACCATATCAATCCTGAGTTAACCATACCATACATGAGTCAACCACACCATTTAGGAGTCAACCATACCATTCATGAATCAACCACACCATTCATGAGTCAACCACACCATTCATGCGTCAACCATACCATTCATGAGTCAACCACACCATTCATGCGTCAACAATACCATTCATGAGTCAACCACACCATTCAGGAGTCAACCATACCATTCATGAGTCAACCACACCATTCAGGAGTCAACCATACCATTCATGAGTCAACCACACCACTCAGGAGTCAACCATACCATTCATGAGTCAACCACACCATTCAGGAGTCAACCATACCATTCATGAGTCAACCACACCATTCAAGAGTCAACCATACCATTCATGAATCAACCACACCATTCATGAGTCAACCACACCATTCATGAGTCAACCATACCATTCAGGAGTCAACCATACCATTCATGAGTCCACCATACCATTCATGAATCAACCACACCATTCATGAGCAAACCATACCATTCATGAGTCAACCATACCATTCATGAGTTAACCACACCATTCATGATTCATCTGAGTCAACCATACCATTCATGAGTCAACCACACCATTCATGAGTCAACCATACCATTTATGAGTCAAGTGACATGAGTGTTTTTTTTTTTACCGTTTCCTCCCACCTTTCCCCCCTCCTCCCCTCTCTCATCTCTTTGCACTGACGCCCTCGTAAGATACACTTGTGTTCATCCATCGCCCAAATCACATCCAGTACACGGAGGGTGTAGCTTCCTGTGCACACTTGAGCATTCTTCTTCCCTTGCTCGCTCTTCACAATGCCTCCCCCACTTTCCACACACACACACACACACCCCTCTTCCCCCCCCCCCCCCCCACCCTCCCCTCCCGTCCCACAGGTGCTCGACGCGTGTGCGCTGCGCCAGGACATTGCCAGCTGGCCCCGGCGCGACCTCACAGAGATTGGCGAGCGCGGGGTGAACCTGAGCGGTGGGCAGAGGGCGAGAGTGGGCCTGGCACGCGCTGCATACGCCACCGATGCAGCACTTGTGCTGCTGGACGACCCGCTCTCCGCTGTGGACCCAACTATGGGGCAGCACCTGTTTGAGCGGTGCATTCGCAGTGTGATGCGCAGGCGGCCAAGGATTCTTGTCACACACCAGCTGCAGTACCTCCCAAGGTGAGGGGTGGGGATGGGTGGGGATGGTTGGAGTACCCACCAAGGTTTGTGTATGGTATTTGCATGTGCGTGCTCACTTGGTGGCTGTGTGTTAGCTTGGCTTATAGGCCCGGAGGACTGTTGTGACGTATCAGCTGCACCTATTTGTGCACTCCAGAACTGCTGTTACGCGACCAGCATTTGTATGCTAGCATCCAGGCGCTGGATGCTTCTTCTCTCATAAAAAATAAACCCGTCTGGACGATGTCCCGGCAGCTTCAAAGAAAATTTAGGGAACGGGCAGGGGATTGGGAAGGGGAGGGAAATACACAAAGATTTGTTTTGGTTTGTTTCTTTCTTCAGTAGTTTCATATTACAAGCGCTTCCTAGGATGTGCTGGTGGACATACACCAGAGGTGGGTAAGTGGGACTGTCAAACAAGGGAGATTGTCAAGAGTTAATCATTTGCTGTGTAGGTTGGGTTTCCTAGATCGAGTGCGATAACAAGTGGTGTTTAGTTGGATTTTAGATTGGGAATTTTGGCATGGCAATTCTTTGACATCTGCCCGTCACCCCCCATTGATGGAATCGAGAATTTTGAATTGATACGAGATTGTGAAATCGCGATATGGTGTATGTGGGACAGATATCAAAGTTTCAGGCTGACCAAATCTTTCCCGAGTGAGCGAGCGTGTGCAGACGCTGGACGGTAGGGGCTCTGGGCGTCCACAGTAACATAGACCTGGTCGAGGTGATAGGTGCTAACTGCATCACTTAAAGCCTTAGTTCTTTTGTCCCCATTCTGCTCCATCTCCATCCTCTCTTGAGACGTCTCTAAAGTAATCACCTAAGTGCTCTGGCTTCAGGTATTAGGTCCTTCGATCTCCACCATCTCTTGCCTTTCTCCCTCTTTCTCTAACCCTCCAACCCCCTTCCCCTTTTTGCTCTCCACCCAGATTCCCCAACCTCCTTCCCCTTCTGCTCTCCACCCAAATTCCCCAACCCCCTTCCCCTTCTACTCATCCCCCAAATCCCCCAACCCCCTTCCCTTACCGTTGTCCCCCCAAACCCTCCATCCCCCTTCTTCGTCTGCTCTTCCCCCTCAAGCCCCTCCCACTTCTACTCTCCTCCCAGATACATCAACCCCCTTTGCTCTCCACCCAACCCCCTCAATCCCAACCTTCCTCACCCCCCCTTCTCCAGCTGCGACCGGGTGTTAGTGCTGGACGGGGGAAGGCCAGGGGCCTTGGGTCCCTAAGTCGCGCTGGCAAGAGAGGTGGACTTCCATAGGCTTTTGGGCGGGGATGAGGTCGAGGGGGATGAGGAGGAAGGGGAGGTAGTGAGAGCAGGAGAGAAGGCTGTTGGTGGTGCGGAATGGGGAGAGGGCATGGAACGGGGGGGGGGATGAGGAGGAGGAGGAGGAAGAGGAGGAGGAGGAGGAGGAGGAAGGGGAGGAGGAGGAGGGGGGGGGGGGGGAAGGAACGAGTGGGGGAAACTGGGGCAAAGTTGCAGCATTGATGCTAGTTTACAGCGGGAGACGATAGTGATGATGGCAGCTCTGATGATGATGATGATGATGATGATGATGTTGCTGATGATGATGATGATGATGATGATGATGATGATGATGATGATGATGATGATGATGATGATGATGATGATGATGATGATGATGTTGCTGATGATGATGATGATGATGATGATGATGATGATGATGATGATGCTGCTGATGATGATGATGATGATGATGGTGATGATGATGATGATGATGATGATGATGATGATGATGATGATGATGATGATGATGATGATGATGATGATGATGATGATGATGATGATGATGATGATGATGATGATGATGATGATGATGATGATGATGATGATGATGATGATGATGATGATGATGATGATGATGATGTTGCTGATCTGAAGGGGTCAATTGAGAGCAACGACATGTCTGAAGAAGACTGGAGGTCGTCTTTCACTTGCACTGACTTGCAGGTGAGGGTGGAGGGGTTGACGGTGCGGTATAGGCCCACTCTGGACCCTGTGTTGCAGGATGTGAGCTTTTAGCTGCGCGGAGGGGAGAAGTGCGGTGTTGTGGGGCGAACCGGTGAGCACTGCTGTTCGTGCCAGCTAGCCATTGATGGTGGTGTGTGCTGTGATTGCCATGTCAGAATAATGAACGAGAATGAATGAACTAGCAAATAGTTGGGTACAAGTACTAACCCTAATTGGGTTGTACCCCTTATGGGCTACCCCACTACAGCCTACACAATGTAAGCTATATATAAGTCTGACACACCCCCATAGGCAAAGTGGGGGAGAACAAGTGGTCACAAGACCAGTCAAGAAAAGCAAAGCAAGCTCAGGGTGGATCACAAAGTCACCACAGACTCCGAGCACAAGCAAAGGGCTACCCCACTACAGCCTACACAATGTAAGCTATATATAAGTTTGACATGCCACTTACCAGGGAACGGCGTGGTGGTGGTGATTCACGTTGCACTGCAATAAAATGGTTCTCTGTTCATGAAGCGGGCTCTGGTAGACTGGTACACATGTCGCTCCCTCCTACCCTCTTCTTACGTCCCCATCGTCCGCACCTCCCTCGGCATACCTCCACTCCGTGTCCACCATCAGGCGCACGCATGTCGACAATCATGCTGGCCCTGCTCCGCCTCGTGCAGCCATGCAGCGGGCGCATCCTCATAGACGGTCTCAACACCGCCACCATACCTCTCACTCCCCTGCGCAGAAACGTGCGTTTGCTTTCTCTCCCTTTGATGCTGCTCCCACCCCACCCCACCCCACCCCACACCACACCACCATCGCTCTCATGCATGTGCCTGAGATGGAATGTGCGTGAGGACAGTTTTCAAGCACGGACGTGCCTCCGTTACAACGGTGGGCAGTTTGAGTTGAGAAGTGATTTTTAGGCTGAATCTAGTGATTTCTTGATTCCCTTAACATCTCTTGCACCACCCATCTCTTCATTTTGCTCATCTCTTATTTCCAAGTACTCACCAATCTCTGCACCGTTCACTCCATTTGCCACCCTTCCCTCCCACCCACCCTCCTTCCCTCCCTCCCTCCCTCCCTCCCTCCCTCCCTCCCTCCCTCCCTCCCTCCCTACCTCCCTCCCTCCCTCCCTCCCTCCCTCCCTACCTCCCTCCCTCCCTCCCTCCTTCCCTACCTCCCTCCTTCCTTCCTCCCTTAATTATAATGCCAATTTGCTTTCCTCTCTCCCACCCTCCCATCCCTTCTTCCCATTTCCCTCCATCTCTCCCTGCACCATAAACAGGTCACAGCGATACCTCAGGATCCCGTTCTCTTTGGCAGCTCTCTCCGGTTCAACCTTGACCCATTCAAGTGTGTCCCAGTCTTCCTGCAACCCACCCCGTTTCTTTACCTCAAGTGCTCACTCATATGCCACGGTCCTCTTCTGCTCTTCTCTTTGTCAACACTTCATTTTTTTCACATCTAACCCCTTCAGACTGCGCCTTGTCCAGTCGGCACTCAAATGCGGCGTCATAGATAGGTCGCAATGGTGGGCAGGGGTGCAGAAGATGAAAGGCAAGCCTAGGGCCGTGCAGAAAAGGCATTGGAGCTGACACAAAGGTTGCCTATTAGCCTCCACAGGGGGCTGTTTTGAGCCCTCGCCGTGGTTGCCCGGTCGAACAGGTTACCCAGGCGATGGGGTTGTGCGGAGGAGTGCGATAGTCGCCCAGGTGGTTATGGCGAGGTCAACCTCGGTGGTGGTATCCCGAGGTCGACATGGCTGATCAGGTCCAGTGATCAGCACGCGGACGACTTGGTGTCTACGCTCTGCAGGTGACACGGCACAGAACGCTAATCAACTGCGAGCACCTACGAAGCAGGTGCGCTGCTGTCCTGCGGGTGCAATGCTGTGCAGCCACCTTGCTGCAGCATTGGCACGCCGTCGACTTGCAGCATTGGCAGACCGCGACTTTGCACTGCTGGAGCGCGGTCGACCTTGTCGTGCTGGAACGCGGTCGACCGTGCTGCGCTGGCAGTCGACCTTCATGCTTGCTAGCATCTGATGTAGTCTTGCTTGCCAATGTTGTTGCTACTCAATTGTTGTGAACCTTTTCTAGTGAAACTCTTGTCAGATTTCCCCGTGAATATGCAAGTAGTGTGAACACGAGAAAACGACTAGGAACGCAAAGATCACCCTCACAAGCGTGCCTACCCTGTGGACTAGCTCCTGTTGTAGTAGTTATCTTCGCAGCACATGCCTCCTCCGCCCATGCCTCCTCCGCCTATGGCTCCTCCCCCCGTGCCTGCTCCGCCCATGCCTGGTCAGCCCATGCCTGGTCCGCCCATGCCTGGTCCGCCTGTGCCTCCTCCGACCATGGCTCCCCCACCCGTGCCTGGTCCGCCCATGCCTGGTCCGGCCATGCCCGCTCCGCCCATGCCTCCTCCGCCCATTCCTCCTCCGCCCGTGCCTCCTCCCGTGCCTCTTCCCCCCGTGCCTCCTCCGTTGATGTCTCCTCTGCCTGTGCTACGCAGTTGTGCAGCTTGCTGTCGATCTGCCTCTGCGACCAGCCACTTCAGGTGGCGTTGTTTCTTCGTCGTCATCTCGCTTGGCCTTCCATATTACGACCTCCCCCACGGCCACCGACCAGCTGACCCACCCCTTTTCTTGAACGCCATCACATTATCTCGCGCCGTCGCCATTGAAGTTGTAATGTTGTTTGCCAAAAGTGCTTTGGTGAAAATGTTACAACAACGTTAATATAGAACTTCACGTTGGTGCAATGTCACCATCGAACATGTTGCAGCCTAATTGTGCAAGTCAATGTCGAGGTTACTATGGCGTGCGCTAAGCTATGGTGCGCAAAACAAGGGACGCCATCACATTCAACCGACTGTAAGACACAGAGCCCACCATGTCATACACCCTGGACTTGTGGATAGGGCCAAAGGGCAAGGTATACGTTGTGCTGATAGGGCACCGTGTCACTGATAAGTGGGAGTTGCACCAGGTCATGCTGGCGTTCCGCAATATGACTTGAGGGCATGGGGCAGAGGACATCGTGAAGGTGGTGAAGACGGTGGAGAAATGGAGGCTGCAGATACGTTGTCTCGGTCTCACACCGACAACACGTCATGCAACATCCTTGGACTCCGCTTGTTGTCCGAGGAGGGGAGGGGGAAGCAGTACTTCAGCGAGAAGACTAACTTCAGGTATGTCGTAATATAATATGTGTGTCCATTGTAGCCTTGTTGTCAATGCGGTGCATGTTTCGTATAAAAGACCGTCCTTCTAATGTACTAACCTACCAGCATCATGTGCCACCTACTTGAGTACCTATCGGTGCCTCGTGCACATTGTGAATCTGGCCATCCAGTCGGCGCTAGGCGTTTGGGCCAAGCATAGCACTTTGAGGTAGGTACGTGAGATTGCATCCTGGTTAAGCTACACCCCCAAGCATTTTGCAGCCTTCATTGCGATGCATGTGACACTTGGGGCGCTGCCGGACGCTACTCACAAGCTCATCCGAGATAATCCCATTCATTGGGGGTCGACGCACGAGATTATTGTTTCCTTCTTCCTACTGAGACACATCATCTCCATCCATTTTCATGTGGATCAGGTTGGGTCTCGTATGTACGTCATGCGTCTAGCCCCATACCTTCAGATTGAAAATTCTGGTCCTATGGTGTTACATGAAACATGTGTGCACCCCCTCATAAACCTTGTTCGACCTACCAACCCTCTTCGCACCATCCCCCTATACCCATACCACGCCATTCACAATCACGATGAATGAGCACCACCCAAGCAAACAAGGAGACGTTCAAGGCGTTGTGGCAGACAGACGGGGAGTGGGACGCCTTTGTGACTCTAGAGAAGTTTCTCAACCCCTTTACAAAAGACACAAAGGCGGCGTAGGAGTCGACATACCCCATGTACAGGATCGCGTCTAGCAATGAGTACTGGATCGTCACCTTCCTGGGTCTTTTCATGAAGGCGGAGTACGTCAAGCTGCCTCGCTGGGAGCAGATGCACCCGTAGCCGGTGGCACGCGATGGTAGTAGGATCAGAGCCCGAGTGACGACAGAGCTGGTGGTGGCTCTGATGCGTAGGCGCATGGCCGAGTGCCAGGCGAGAGCAACGCGCGAGGCTCCATCCTGATGCTGCACCGATGCCATCAGTTCAGGACGACGATGACGACCCATTCCTCTTTACCAGGGTACAGCTGCCCGAGCGGATGCCAGCTAGTGCAGTGGCGGCGGTGCGAGTTGGGGGGGATAGCCAGTCAGGGATGAGGTGGACATGTACTTGGCTTAGCTACCAGTGTGATACGTTTTTGCGTTGGTGTATTGGCAGCGTGCGCAAAACATGGATATGTTGCGGAAGATGGCAAGGGATTACCTCGCTATCCCTGCCACGTCTTCCACGAGTGAGAGGGTGTTCTACTTAGGGAGAAACCTGATCACCTGGAAAGGCATAGGCTGAACACCGAGCGTGTGAGTGCTTGCATGATGCTCAAGTCGTGGTACTCTTCGCACCCTGGGCAGCGCATTGGAGCGAACGTGGACTAGGGGTTTTTGTGCAACTCCTCTCAGCTGCATGCTGGAGGGGGGGGTGTGGGGGAAGGAGGAGGGGGGATGGTGGGGGGGAGGGGGGGGGCCTGACAAGAGGGGTGAGGAGTAGGAGATGGAGGGAGGGGGGACTGGCAGGGCTACGGTTGGAGGTGCAGGGGACCCAAGCATTGGGGGCTTAGTGGGCATGCTGGTATAGTGTGCTTGTGATTGCATGTTGCCCATATGCCTTGGTGCTGGATGACACCTATGCTTGTGCATTCATCTATGCTTGATTTCCACAAACACTTGTTGCTAATTGATGATGCACATTTGCAAATATTTTTGCGGTGACTGATGTTCTCTTTTTCCTACACCTTCCACATGGTCTCCACATCGCCAGGTCCTCTTCTTGATGGTGTTCACCACCCAATTTGTACCATCATGCTCTCCCCCATTGATACCCTACTTCAGATTTCTCCCCCTCATATTAACCCCCACGGGTTTCCCCCCATTGATACTCCCCCTCAATTTCTTCCCCTCACATTCCCCCCATCAGGTTCTCCCCCTCAAGTGCCCCCCACCCGGTTCTTCTCCTCTTTATCACCATCAGGTTAAACCCATCAGATTCTTCTTTTCATATCCTCCCCATCACATTCCCCCCCTTAGTTTCTCCCCATTAGGTGTTCCCCCTCAGGTTCTTCCCCTCAGGTACTCACATCGGGTTCTTCCCATCAGGTTCTCCCCCTCAGGTGCTCACCATCGGATTCACCTCATCAGGTTCTCTCCCTCGGGTTATCCTCCTCAGGTACTCCCTCTCAGGTACTCCCCATCTGGTTCTCCCTATCAAGATTTCACCCTCTATTTCTTTCTCAGGTTAAGGATTTTTTTGTTTGGAAAAGTGCCAGTGCCCGTACCATTGTTGTGTAATTGTGTAATTGGTTCTTGAAGCAAGTGTCACACCCTGCAAATCACTGTTGTTAGCGCATGTATTTTAACCGTCGTCATTGATCATGGCCATATTTTGTTTTGCGGAAAATAGAGTCTGACAATATAAAAGGGCACTCAAACCCGAACAGGTTCAAGTTCGCCCAAAATAACTAGGGGTTCGTGGCAAACACATAAAGGTTTGCCCTTAACCATGAAAACATGAACACCCCTATTTGTAAAAAGGTTCGTGGCAAACCAAATGGGTTCGATTCGCCAATGGGAAGTGTCCGTCAAGGTTCGTGGCAAACAGGTTCGTGGCAAAAAGGTTCGAGTTTGAGCCACAGCAGCTGCAAGAATTTGTCTATCCAGATTGGATGTGGTCCTTGGTCCTTGGTTGGCACTTGCCAACCCTTGGTTATTAACCCCACCAACCCAACCAGCTCACAATTGTGGTTGCTTGGGCTACAAGCCAACTCAACCATTGCTGATCAAAGGGTTAATGCGAAATGGCTCCCGTATAAGCGGGAGATCTTTTGCTGTGGTAGATCTTTATCCACCCCCCCCCCCCATTCCTCTATCATGCATCATGACCAAGTTGGAGGGTTCACCTCCGGTACAACCTCTAGCAAGAGTTTGAAGATGTTGGAACATGCATGCTTGTTTTTGCTTAGATTAACTCAACAATGGGAGCTAGACTACCGAGAAGGCACGTTTGTGAGAGTGATCAAAGTGTTCCGTAGCGTTTGCTCGTGTTCTCTTTACGCGCACATTCATGGGGAGAAGTGGCAAGAGTTTCACTAGCAGAAGTTCACAACAATGGTTGCAACAACATTGGCAAAGTTGACTACATCAGATGCAAGTCTGCCTCCCCTCCCACCCTCGCCTTCCCCGCCCTGCCTTCCTTGTGTCTTCCCCTCTCAGGACGTCACGTTTGACGAGTTGGTTCCCTTTTACCGTCTCTTCCCCTACCGCTCTGCTCCTCCCACACCCCCGCCGCTCTTCCTTACTCCAAGTCCCCCTCCGGTAGACCCCCTCCCCCCCCAGGGTTCTGCTCCCTCAGGTGTGTCTCAGGTAGACCCTCTCCCTGGTACTGCGCCTCTCAGGTGCTGCACGAGGTGCTAGGTCTGGGGGTGCTGCGTCTAGGGGTGCGGAGCCTGGGGGTAGTGAGTCTAAGGGTGCCGGGTCTGGGGGTGCTGAGCCAGGGGGTGCGGAGCCTGGGGGTGCTGAGCCTGGGGGTGCGGAGCCTGGGGGTGCTGAGCCTGAGGGTGTGGAGTCTAGGGGTGCTGAGCCGAGGGGTACTGCTTCTTGTGGAGTCTTCGCAACGACTGTCTCCCCGGCCGGAGCCTCTCTCCCCGCAACAGCTGCGCGAGTGGTTTGCCCAGCGCACCCGCCTTCGGAGTGGAGCTGCCAGAGCTGGAGACTCTGCCACTGGAGACACTGGAGCTGAAGGAGCTGGGGTTACTGTCGGAGCTGGTGGTACCGGAGGTGCTGCAGCTACTGGTCCTGGAGGTGCTCGTACCAGGGGTACTGGAGCTGCCAGGACTGGTGGTGTTGGAGGAGCTGGAGCTGGAGAACCTACGGAGCCTGGAGCTGCTAGGGCTGGAGGAGCTGGAGCTAGAGGCACTGGCGCAGGAGGCGCTGGAGCTGGGGGAGCTGGAGCTCTTGACCCTAGAGCTGGAGGTGCTGGAGGCACTGTGCGGCCGCGACCGTACTTCGTTCCCTGCTTCAGCAGGTTCTTGGTGTCCCGTCTTCTACTGGCCTTAGTCCTCCCTTACTGTGTCCACCGCCTGACCAATCGCAGCCGCCGTTACAGCCAGCCTCCCCACTGCCTGCTCCTTCTCCTTACACTAAGCAGACTGGCGGTCTTACAGAGCGTCATGAGCCTGCGTCTCGTCCTGCCTCCCCTGTTCGCATTGGTCGTCGCGTTCGTCGTCCGCGTCCTCCTCCTGTCCCCGGCACACACGCTATGGCACTTCGTCCTTCCCCTGTTCCATTGCATGTTACTCTACTTGCTCTTCCTGAGTCCTCTCTTCCTGCAGTCCCTGACCCTGAGTCTGACCTTGTGCGTGCTGCCAGTCCCACTGTCTCTCGTCTTCTCGACACTGTTGTCACTGACCCTTCCTTTGAGTCCACTGCTGCCTGTTGTCTAGACTACGCCACTGCTCTTGTTGCTGAGTCTGAGTCTGCCAGTCCTCCGTCCATCGGGGGTGAGTGTGCTCTTGGCACGGACATCCTTGAGGACAGGCAGGAGGACTTTGAGTGTCTTGCTGCTGCTGTACCTCGTTTCGCGTCCATGCTGCTTGCCCCTGAGGGAGACCCGGATGCACCAGACATCCCGAACCCCCGCTCTTACGCAGAGGCGATTACGGGTCCCTACTCCTCTCAGTGGCAGGCAGCCATGGATGCCGAGATGGCATCCTGGAAGTCCACAGGCACCTACGTCGACGCAGTTCCCCCGTCTGGGCCGAACATTGTCAATGGCATGTGGATTTTTAGGGTGAAGCAGCCGCCGGGTTCTCCGCCTGCCTTCAAGGCGCGTTACGTTGCTAGAGGCTTCAATCAGCAACAGGGGGTTGACTACTTCCAGACCTTCTCCCCCACCCCAAAGATGACCACTCTTCGGGTGTTGCTGCACGTCGCTGCTCAGCGTGACTACGAGCTGCACTCTCTTGACTTCAGCACAGCTTTCTTGCAGGGCAGCCTGCACGAGGAGATCTGGCTGCGCCGCCCACCTGGCTTCACTGGGTCGTTTCCTGCAGGTACCCAGTGGAGCCTCCGGCTGCGAGTTTACGGTCTCCGCCAGGTGCCTCGCGAGTGGCACAACACACTGAGGACTACACTTGCGGCTCTTGGGTTTGCTCCTGCCACTGCTGACCCGTCGCTGTTTCTACACACCGACACCTTGCTGCCGCCGTTCTACGTCCTCGTCTACGACGACGACCTCGTCTTTGCCACTGCTGACACTGAGACACTGACCCTTGTGAAGTCCGAGCTGCAGAAGAGACACACCTGCACTGACCTGGGCGAACTGCGCAGTTATCTTGGCTTGCATATCACCCGGGACAGAGCACGGCGCACCATCACCCTGACTCAGTCACACATGGTGCACCAGTTCCTTCAGCACTTCGGCTTCCAGTTCTCCTCGCCACAGCCCACTCGTCTGTCTAGTGGCCACTTGCTCTCAGCTCCACCTTCGGACGAGTCCGTAGAGCCGAGTGGTCCGTACCCAGAGCTTGTGGGTTGCCTATGTACTTGATGACTTGCACACGACCTGACCTCGCGTACCCTCTCAGCCTCCTGGCTCGCTACGTGGCTCCTGGTAGGCACCGAAAGGTGCGGTGGGATGCTGCAAAGAGGGTACTGTGTTACTTGTGCAGAACGTCGGGCATGGGGCTCGTGCTTGGAGGACGGGGTCCAGTTGTCCTCACTGGTCACGCAGACGCTTCTTGGGTTGACAACTCAGCTACGCAGCGGTCGTCACAGGGTTACACCTTCAGCCTCGGTTCCGGCTCTGTTTCCTGGCGGTCTACCCGCTCGTCTTCGGTTCTCAGCTCTAGTTGTGAGGCTGAGATCTACGCAGGGGCCATGGCTGCACAGGAGCTACGCTGGCTGACCTACCTGCTGAATGACTTGGGAGAGAAGCCTCGTTTGCCTCCAGTTCTCTACGTAGACAACAAGGCCATGATTGCCTTGTGTGAGGAGCACAGATTGGAGCACAGAACGAAGCACATCGCTCTGCGATACTTCCTTGCTCAAGAGTTGTAGCAGCGTGGCCAGCTTCGTCTTGCGTACATGGCCACTAGGGCCAACACTGCTGATATATTCACCAAGGCACTTCCGCCTGGTGATCATCAGCACTTCTCTACTGTGTTAGGCCTTGTGCCTACTTTGCCTCGCTCACTGCTTGACTTTGCTTGTATTGTGATGTATATATATACCTGCATACTTACACTTGCTAGGGTATGATCACTGTATTGTTTGTTCTCTTTTATATAACTCTGCATGCGAACTGGCTTTATGGCCCTTTGCTTGTGCTCGGAGTGTGTGGTGACTTTGTGATCCACCCTGAGCTTGCTTTGCTTTTCTTGACTGGTCTTGTGACCGCTTGTTCTCCCCCACTTTGCCTATGGGGGTGTGTCAGAATGTTATGTTGCTTACAATTGTGTAGGCTATAGTGAGGTAGCCCACAAGGGGTACGACCCAATTAGGGTTAGTACTTGTACCCAACTGTTTCATAGTTCATCCATTCTCGTTCGTTATTCTGACATCTGCATCATCGTACAGCGTGGTGAAGGCAGCCGGTGGCAGGCCACGTGGTAGGCTAGCTACTCCGGCAGCCTTCGAAGTCGGCCTGAACGTCGCAGCTCTGGCTTCTAGGTGGTGACCTCCACCGCGTCGCTCCCACACACCCGAAAACAAAGTCGGCTCCGCCCAAGCGAGGACGGGGCCAAAACCCAACTCCCGTTGACAGTTTTCGCCCTCTTCCCATGCACATCCCAACATGCAAATGTTCATGGTGTATCCCCTTTTGGGGTTGCTAAGCAACCTATTTTAATCGACCGGAATTGTTTTTTTTTTATTATTATTAAAAAAAAAACTTAGAAAATATATGGATAAGATAGGCACCGGTAGTACTGTGCTTGTACATTCATTTCGTATTACACATGATTTGGTGTACAACCGTTTATACTTTTAGAGAATGGAATTTCAGTTCCACGGTTCTTTAGACAACGATTTAAGAAATGGTGTTTTCTGCATCTTTCCAGAAAAATACAAGGTTCTCATGAATAGTGATCCAGTTCTTGTCGAGCTGAGAGAACCCTCCTGAAACAGTGCCTTACTTTCAAACTGGGCCTCCCTTCACTATTTTGCCTGCTCGCTTTAAATTTCTTCTTAGTTTAGTTTCGTACGATCGTACCTTCATGCCACCCCACTTCAATATCATCCAGTA